CATCGCAGATTCGTGATTAGGTTTTCTCAATCCAGAATCTCTTTCCACGTCCTGTATGATAAATATCAATTCATCATATATTCAAAAACAAATACACCCAGATGACAGGAGTATGTCAACAAATCATAATAATTCTCAGATGTCAGTTCAGTATAGTTTTATTTATATTATAGGTAGATGAAATTTGTGTATATCATGAAGAATGTCTGAAAGAATAAATGGGCTTCTCGTCACTATGTGGATTTGATATCCGAAATGAGTTAATTCTAGTGAAGTCATATAACCTGTTTGTGAGAGATATAATTCCCATATCACTGATATGATTTTTTTTGGAAGTTCCAAGCTCATCAAGATCAGATTTCAATTTTCATTTCAGTACTGATCATGTTGGTAGGTTATATTTTCATATCATGATACATCATATCATTTTATCCGATTAGAAAGGTAATGTCAATTCTCAATTTCAGAGGATTTTTATTTTTCATGCTCTCTTTTTGGATGTTCAACAGATATGATTCAATGTTCGACGTGGCAAATAACCAGGAAAGTAGTTGTTTTCTGTTGAATATTCAGAATGATATTATGTGCATATACATATATTCATATGAAGGAGAATGCAAATTCTCTACGTCAGAAGATTTTCTTTTCAAATTCTTATCGTGTGTGTTCAAAAGATATAATTCAATGTTCGTCGTGGCATATATCCATTAAAGTAGTTTTTCTCCGATTGGCAGCAAATATTAATTTTGCTGACACATATCAATCAGCAAAGTATTACTTTTCCTGCCTAGGCAGCGAAGTGGTTACTTTGCTGATTGAAATGTATCAGTAAAATTAATAATCCATAAATCGTTTATAATTTTATTCATATTTCATTCGAGACTTCTCCGGCAACAAATTCAACTCTATATTTTTTGCCACCTCCCTTATTTCTGGAGGTGTAAGTACTTCCAGGTCGCTATCACTGTCCATTATATAATGATTTGAATATACCGATGTTTTTTCGCACAACTGTCAGAATTTTCATGAATTGTCAAACTATAATTATCATGGACAACTCCGATTTCTAACAAATTTCATTTTAATTGAACACTACAGGAAAAATAAAGAGATTGTGGGAATTGTAATAATTTGCAATTACAATATCCTCCTATATCATTATGAACAATCGGAGAAAAAATTATATGTTCAACTCGGCAGTCAATCTACTACTTTGCTGCCTAGTTAAACAAATAACTATTTTTCTGTTGAATAAACCAAGAAAGAATTGATATTCTCATCACATAGAGAATGCGAATTCTCAATGTATTTCTTTATATATATTAATATATACACTTTTTTTATGTTCATAATTATATCTGAGTATATTCCTTTTTAATAAATATTATGTTCTTTTTCATAATATCGAACTTCAACGTCTCAAATTCGTCAACAGCATTTCAGAATAATCCATTAAGTTTGATTAAGTTTGCCATGTATTTCGTTGGAAATTGGATGGAAAATATTATTTCAGTAGGTATCTCGGATTTCTGTTAGGGCGGTTCATCTGGGTTAATTATCGGATCCATCATTCGGTTTGTTTATGAAATCATTTTGATTGGAGGTTGGGTAATCGAAGTTGTAATTAGACGTCGTCTATTCGAATTTCAATTTTCCTGAGGAAAGATTTAATTACATCCTTGCCTTATTATAGCTGGTTTGTCGATAGAATATAAGTGCAAATGGTTCCAAAAGTCACACAGTAAATACTCGATAACAAGTGAACAAAAATAGATTGGGCTCATCAGGATATTTATACTCTTCAGTGGTAACCCTCATGAGTTTGAGAAGAAAAAAACGTATCAGATTATGTAAAAACTTCACAAACGATAAGATTTTCACAAAATTCTCAAACACACGACATGTTTCGCTAACATAGTAGCTTCGTCAGGTGATATACTGGTACGATGAACTAAACTAACCTTGGCTTGCTCATATATATCCTACTTTTCCAACCTGAAGAATCAGTTATCTGTGGACAGCTTCGATAAACCTCCATTCTCGGAAGTTAGGCACAATATCTACATTTGAATACGATGTACCGTATTAACTTGAAAGGGTTCATAGCAAATACATATTATCACCTACTAAGATTTGATTCGATCAAAACTAATGTTAACAAAACCAAGATTAAAAATGCGCATAGCACATTAGTCGTAAGTGTTTGAGTCGTAAGTAGAAAGAGATTATTGTTGGCCAACTTTTCTCATAAACTAAAACTTATGACTGTTTATGACAGGTGTATGAACGTATATATTGAAAAGCAATGACAGAACTCCCCAAGACTTATGACTTAATATATTTGTACGACTTATGAAATTTAAGGCTCAAAATTGCTGCATAAATCCACCATAGGAAAGGATGACATCAATTTGGCGACATGGCACAGTATAGCGGTTTTGTTTAACCCATCACTGTTGCTATGTTGCCATTTATGTGCCCTATGTGTAACAATTGGGCAAACATACAGTATTGGAAGTATATAAAGATAAGGGACATAATAGATCCTGAAGCTGACAGTGTATTCACTTCTGATTAGGCATACAATACCTCTAGACAAATGATTTGGAACGCAATATCTTACATGAGTGGTTTGCTCAAAATGAGCGAATGTGACCAATTCTGATTAAGTCTACGGCATTTTAATAGTGTCTGTTCAATTTATAGAATCATATACTTATCATTTTGATTCGTTGAATAGTTCCGAGCTGTAAACACATGAAACTCGTCAATGGAGAACTTTCGTTTATCTTTGAATCTGATTATTACTGATATTTCAGAATGTCTATGAATTCATTAGATAATAATTATGATTTTGAATTCATTTAAATAAGGAATATCAGACGAAATTCTTATGAAACCATAAGGCATAAAAGATGTGGTGTCCGGTCATCTTTCACATCTCTCTTTCTCGAATATAGAAGTCGACTTTCCAATTTCAACGTTCAGTTTGCATCGTTTCGAAAGGTATAGCCTTATATGCTGACAAAATTTTCATTGAATCAGGATCCTTTCGGAGACCATTTCGCCTGATGTGAAATGAAGTAATCGTGGTGATTGAATTTGTCTGAATACTCATCCATTTTTTGTCGGTAACACTTACAGTTCACTGAGCTATAAGTTAATTTTTTTCACAATTCCATTGAAAGATAGATAATAGATTGAGATCATCAGAAAGTCAACTTTAGTTCGCAACACACTAGAGGTGGATTCATGCAACATCAACTAAATCATAATGAATTCAAGTTTCAAACGAATTTTAAATTAGAAATATATTGGTGTTCACGTAATAACCACCCATCAGCTGTTTAATCTTTTTCCAGCGCGGCTAGTTAGTTACACACAAAAAACCTGGAAGTTTCCAGTCTGACCTCTGAAAAGTTATCACCAAATTTGTACGGCAACATGGTTGTTTGAAACACTTGCGGGTCACTGATGATGATCCAAAACATCTCAAAACGTGACTTTCAGTCACAGAACATGTCATGCCAAAAATTATGAAAATAGATCTCAGCCTACTCTTTTTATGAGCAAAATTATTTTTTTCCAAGAAACCTTCAACGCCATATACCAACGTAATGAGACGATTATGGATCTAGGTAAGTTGGCCTAAATCATCTTGTTTTTATCCCAGGAGTCCACAGCTGAGCCATGTCCCAACCTTTTGCAGACATCCTGTATATGTTGGGTCTCACATCATGCTTCATTATCGAGATATGGGTGTTTTATCAATTCTGGTCATTTCTTTGAAGGCTCATAGCATACGAACCACCTGGTATATTTTCTTGATATTTGGTAGACGTGTTTCCCCACTGCTACCCCAGCGACTTGTATATCTGTCAGAAAAAAAATCCGCTTGCTATTTTACTACTGAATTTCTGAAACTGCAATGAAGGAAATCATTACATCAAAATGATAGAAATATTGAAAGATGTGAATCCACATGGAAATATGTCTCAAACAAATAAATAGGTGCATGAATGAAGTAAGGACCTGTGAATATACACTGGCCCGTTACACAGGCATGAAAATACAGCCAACGACTATTAAGTGGAATAAAATGAGTTGTAAAATTGCAAAATATTCATAATTCGATATGAAAAACTGAAAATAGTGTGTATTGACCACTCTATATTTGTGTCAACTTCAACAAATTGTCACGTTTCATGAGTTTCTAGACTAATAATCAAATTAAAATTATGTATTTATCAAAGCTACACCGTCATTGATTTTTCCCGATTTCAATTGCTGCAGCTCCGCTCTATTGACCAAACTGAATGCGGTTTGCATCAATGCATCACACAAAACTTCAATTAAATTTCGTGAAATGTACAAATATTTTTGTATAATCGGAAATTATAAAATTCCTCCTCTACTTCACATCATCATTGAACGTATCATTCACATCAGATTACATTCACCTCTGGATTGAATTTCACTGAAAATAATATCGCTTTACTGATACTACATGGTTTTATTTTATTCTCTCAGAGTATCAACACCTATTCAATGTTCCACATGTTGAAAATAGTATGACATCATGTTCTAAAATATGTAGATCAGAATTCTCACTTTCAATGACTTGTATCATTGATTTTTGAATTTTGAAATGTTCTCATATCATTCAACTTCATAAAGTGTTCGATGTGCGGTAAATTATCAAGTGGTTATATGAACAAAAGCACTTAGAATTTGTTTGTTATGTTTAGATCGACCATTATTACTCCAAAGGTTCTTGAGAGCCATGGTATCGTGTCATTCACCAAGATACGAGATAGTCAAGTCGTTTAGTAGTTTCGAATAATGGTAGATATACGTTAGATACGATTCTGCTGAAAGTAGCATGAGTGATTGCAATAATTGTATCTTGCTTGAACGGAGTTGAATCGATGAATTTTTCAGTGTCAAGTCTCACTTCTTGCCTCGCCCCTATGCTATAGTTTCTCAATAATAATCATGTGTATTTATAAAATAGATTTCTTTTATTCATAACCAATACAGACTAGAAATAACTTAGATCAATAACTTTTCATCAGTACCGATATCCTCCATTACTGTCATACTGTGATTCATGATGTCCGTGACCACTGTAATACGAACTTCCGCTTCCACTTATACCTGAGTACCCATGGCCGCTAGCGTATCCAGAACCACTTGGAACATTCAGACCGCCGCCAGACCAGCCACCTGATAGTCCGGATCCGAGCCCACCAGAATAAAGCCCATTTCCGATGTTAGAATCGAGCCCGCTTGAACCGAACCCAGTTGATAATCCAGAATTCTGGGTGTTGCTGAAAGAGTGGCTAACTCCTAGACCGGAAACAACTCCACTCGAGAATCCCGCATTACCACCGCTCGAATCATAGTGGTATTGACTTTGGGGATTCACTAGCACCGGTACATTAACCTCAACTCTTGTCGGGACTCTAACTGGGTAAGGCTTTGCTACTACAACTGGATAAGGCTTCGGAACATGCACATGTACTGGTGTGGGTACTTTGACGTATTCATTAACTCTGAGGGTAGCTGGATATGGTCTAGGTACTGGCACAGGGTACGGCCGCTCAACCACCACTTTCACTGGGTGTGGTACTTCAACACGCACTGGACGTGGCACTTCCACGGGTCGGGGTACTGCGACTGGTACTGGCACTGGACGGTTGACAGGCACTGGGTAGGGTTGCGGCACTGGGATCCTTACTGTTTCAGTTCGCTGGGAGTAAGTGGTACCTCCATTGACAGTATTGCCAGATCCCAAACCATTTCCGAAGTTTGTGCCAGAGTTGATTCTACCAAGAGAACCTGCTGAGAGCCCACCAAGCGATAAGGAACCAGTTGGGAGTCCAGATATTCCGTTTGATCCGTCATAATTACCCCCGAGTGATCCACCAGAGTTCCAACCACTCGAACCTAGTCCGTTTGAGATTGAATTCAATCCAGAGTTGATTCCTGACCAGCCTGAGTTCGATCCAGAGTTTACTCCTGACCAGCCCGAGTTGGATGCAGATGTGAACAAAGAACCCACTGATGAGCCTGAGCTTTGTCCTTGTGAAAGATCCAAGCCTGAGGAACTGATGTAGCCACCGGTCGACCCAGAACTGATACCCGCTGGGATGCCTGAGCCATAACCGACCCCATATTGTGATGAGGGGACGGGTGGGGTGAGTTGTGAATGTACTCCGCTAAGAATTCCACATGTTACTTGAGAAGTAAGGGCTAATATAGCGGGTAACACCTGAAAGTGAAAGATATTTGTGAGACAATACATGTAGCAACGCAGTTGTCATTTCATATGAGTGATTTCTTCAAGCATCCTTAGCCAGAGTTAATAATGCGAATGATATTGATACTGATCAAAGTGGGCGGTTAAACCTCAGAAAAAGATAAGCATGGTTCATCCATCTAGGTAGACTCCGACCACGATAACTTTGGGACAGCACGTGGTCGAGTATGCATTGAATATGCATATACGTTGCGTCACATGCTGTCCCAAAGTTAACGTGGTCGGACTCTATGCAGAGAAAGAACATCATTGAAATAGCAAATCATTATCAAATTCATCAGTGTACGTATCTTCAATATTTTTCATATAAATTGATCGATTAAGTTAGCCATATTCTTGAATCACTAATTGAGGTTGTCCAAGAAACGTAGGTCAGTCCGTTGACCGTATTCCTTCAGCAAAAATAGTATGATCGACTTGATCTGCCGTGTTTTTTCACAAATGCGTCGGAGGTACTGGGTTCAAATCTGGCCACCATTACCTTTTTATTTAATGTTATCCGAGTGATTTTAATAGGGAATAGAATTGAGAATTAGTTTTTAATATACACCTGTTGGAGTCTTGAAGTTTAAATCTATCATTTCTAGGACAACCGGAAGATGAAAAAAAAATCCTATAATTATGAGGAAGTGCCTCCTAGTGAGAATATTCGATGTTCTAAATTTCAGAAATATAGCTAGAAAAACAAAGGTGGAATAGGATACTTTTAGTTCCATTTCATTGTGTCCCAAACTGAACCTACCCAATACCCATATATATACATATAGGCACTGTATTTCTGGTATAATTCTGATGTAATTCTTCACACATTCTGATGAGAAAATGATGTTCAAATATTAACTTCAAATAAATAACTGAATTGAAAAAAGCTAATTCAAAGAAAAACTGACGAAAGTATCAGTTTGTAGTATGTTTTATAATTGAATATGTTTTGTTATTCCAGAAATTTGATGAAAAATGACGGAGTCAATGCTTGCGGTGTGTTTTCTAAGATATACTATATATATGAATGTATGATTCATATCGTATCTATAATTTCAATTTGAATGAAATTCATCTGAATGTACAGTTTTCAATACACGGCGGAGAATGAACTGTCACTTTGAAGGCATGTGACCTCGAACACAAAAAAACAGCTGATACGGGGTGACCAAGTTTAAAACTAAATCAGTTTTTCATTAATATCTAGAGAACGCTTAAGCTGATTTGAATAAAATACTTATGGTTCATTTACACAATTATCATACATTCACTGGACCAATTAGATTCGATAGATTTGTTCATTTCAGGATCTTCTCGAATATGGAACTGAACATACTGAAAATACAACATTCCTGTCTCCTGCTATTTTTTCGTATCTTGCCTTGTTTTCAAGAGAAACGGACAAAACCATACCTCGGCATATCTCTGAACTTCATAAGGAAAAATGAAAATGCTTAGATATCATTCAAAAATTGATTGCATATTATTTTTTATGGAAATAAAGAATGACATATAATTCAATACCCTCTCTATAATATATACGATCTTCAAATTTTGTGAGGAATATTTCAAGATATTAATGAAAAACTCGTTTTTTTGAACTTTTCATCTCGGAAACGAAGCAATCTCGGAACTTTTTTTTAATATTTTATTGAGATCTTCCCTAGGCTTTTGTCACCACAACTCCAAAACACCCTGTATACGCCACTGTGACAACTGACGAGCCCGGATTCAACACTACCGGCGCCTATGACCGTATATGCACTTCACACTATTTTTTTATCACTCAAGAGCCAATACGCTATAAGAAACTTACCAAGTACACTTTCATGATGAACTTGGGATGGGACATAAAAAGCTGATGGGAATGGTAGCGATGAAATAAAATGCACCAACATTTATATAGGAAGCCACACCTCACGGGGGAGATGATAATGTCACTTTCACGTATGGTAATCTAGAAGGTATATCATGGACCCCTTCCGAATTCGCGCAATAACTCAACTTAGGTCAAAGATGACCACTGTGAAACAACACGAAATTATGTAATTGTTTATCTCATGAAAATGCAAGATGTTACGGTTATAATTTGTATACAGTGCGTCTCAGATCGTCCGATACAACTCTTTCAACTTCGACAATCTGTAGAAAAATAATTGGAAATACGTGTTTTTTCTTTTCTGATGTCGTGGAGAAATTGGTTTTTGAAATACGAGGTACGAATCTTACATAACTTTTTGGGTTTGAATTCTCATTTCTTCTGAAACTAAAGCTATCGATTCGAAATTTGATGACCACATTACTATCAGCGCTTGAATGTTTCATTTATTGATAGATTTTTCTGAGGCATCTGATATTGAACCCTTCTTATAGGTACTCATTTATTAGGGCGCCATTGATGAGTTGATAATAATAGGGATTTATCCTAATTTCTTCACCTCACTTTCTCTTTTTCACTCGATGTCTTCCTCAGTTTCCATTTTTTCAGTCATCTGACATTGAACTTTTTTCAACTATTCATTGGGGTTAATTGAAACTAAAGGATATTCATTCTATTTTATTCTTCCCGCTCATTGCTTCCATTTCAACAAAGGGATACAAATTCAAACCATAGTTCAAACGAACTTCAACAGCTTCCCGTATTTCGAAAACCAGTTTCTTCACAACAAAACGATTTCCAATTGTTCCTTCATGGATTATCGGAGTAGGACAAATTGGGACCTAAGATGGATGATTGGAAGTGTAGAATTTCTCTCGGTTCTTGGCATGTTCTGAAAATGAAAATAGAATATTACACACCGAGGTGGGAAGTGATTCATTCCTGTCGTGAGATTAGTTAGTTAACCGAGACGCACAGCATCGAGGTTTGCTATAATCTCGAGACAGGAATGAATAAATAGGAATAAATCTCTGTTTCGTTCTGAACATACCTAAAATTCAAAAATGAAGTGGCAGGAAGTAGACGTGTGTAATGTGACACTTCCCAACCTTCAATGACGTTAATGACAACATTACATGTATGGTTGTGAATGGAAGATCATTATATACGGAAATACTGTTATGATATTCTCCTTAGAGGGGCTTTAGAAACATCAGCAGGAAGGCAGGAGTACAACGATCATCCTGTATCACGCATCCCAGATTGCTCTCCAACCTCTCAATGATTCCTACATACACCAGCATATTTCCGAACACTCAATATATGCCGCAGTGACAAATAACGTCACAGAAGATTCTGGAATGTTCTGGAAACAATCGATGGAACAATTAGAGAGAGAGGTTTTGTTCTAAGAAGCTTCTAGAACAAAAAGAATGAGACGGAAGATCATTCGAGAACCTTCTCGAACCAAAGCCTGCCAAGTGATCTCATATATAAACGGCCGAACAACTGCTGTCAGTCAGTCGAGCAGCGAGTGTCAGAGAGACAGTTATATACCGCGTGATATGAATCGTTTTATATAAATAGTAGTTATAAGTTCGTTATAAATTAGTGTTTCTATAGTTCAAATAAATCAGTTCTTAAATAAATAGTGTCGTGTTCGCTTCTGCACCCGAATAACGTAACAATACTTTATGCTGAAGGTGTTCGGAAAATAGCTATCAAAGGATCCCTTACTGAACTATAACAAAACTGGCCCTTGGTGGGGAATACTTTTTTCTTGAGATATATATCTGCTATATAGATCTCTATGTACTGATGAGTTCCAATTGGCATAACCTTCAAAAATTGTCTATCATTATTGATCTTCAAATGTGCATCTGCACAATAATCGGTATAGATGTTGATAAAAATCAACAGATAATTCTTGCGGAAATTATGAAATTGTATGTACTTTTTTGTGAATAACTACTATTCCGAGAATGATAAGGCGATGAAGAGTTCCAATTGGGGTTGATCTACAGGGTGTCTCAGAATTGTGGTGACAAAAGGCTAGGGGAGATTCATCTCAACAAAATATTAAAAAAAGTTCAAATGACCATGGATCCGAAAATGCTTGCTTCGATTCCGTCCAATTTGAAAAACCGAGTTTTTTTATTATAATCTTGAAATCGCTTGATCCGATTTGAATAGAATTGGTATATGGTTTATTCACACAATCATCAGACATTCACTGGTCCTATTAGATTTGATCCAGAATCTCCAGGAGCGTACCCATCGAGCAATTCGGCGTTTTTTTTTTTGTAAAGAAGAAAGTCACCCGGTGTTTTTTCCGGATTCTTCTCAAATATTCAGATAAACCCACTAAATATACAGCATATCTGTCTCTTTGTATTTTTCGTATCTTGCTTGGAAAAAACTAGTGCCCCGTAGATCGTTTGTTCCGATCACCCTGTATGTGATGATTCATTCATTCGGATGATTTTTCAAATTCGGAAATCGGTTCAAAAATAAGTGAACTAGAGGGGGACACATTTATGGGGAATCACCCTGTACACATTCCTTCAGACCAAATCAATACCAGGTACCTCAGTACAAAGTTGCTCGGTTTGGGCAATAAATGTCTCTGCATGGGGTTACAATTTTCCATAACTTTGGAATGGCTAATGAGGTACCACTCTAATTTGGTAGGGAAGTTGACATAAGTTTATTAGGCAATAAAACCCATGATGAAATCCTGATGAACATCTAGAACCTCTACGCCAATGGAGAGAATGGAGAGGGAATATGAAATTTGGATTGTTCAACTCGTTTACTACGAAGTAGGTACGGTACTACTTATAAAATTTGATAACTCTCATGGTTTCGACAAAATATAAATTTCAGTAAATTAGAGCATCAGTCAACATGAAACGATCAATAGATATTTCAATAAGCTTTTTTCGCTATTTTTGTTCCTATATAGAATCCGCAGTTGAAATCATTCTATGTTATTTCGGGATACCCTGTAGATCTGATATAAAATAGTTACGAATGATCTTATAATTTGTTCCAAATGTATTGAAGTGCACACACATACTCTTATTACTTTCTGATGGTACTTTCAACCGATTAATAAATCAATAATTTTTTTATACAAAGAGATTCGGCTTAATCAGGTTCCCGCAAGATGATGTATCACTTTCATTTCGTATGGTTTGGTGAATTGAAACTGAATGTATGAATAAGAATAATGATTACTAGTAGATCGAATTTAAAATACATGTAGAAGAGTAGATAGTGCTAGTGGCGGATCTACAAATTCTCGGGCGCTAAGCGTTATGATACTTGGGGCCCCTTCTGGTTTTTCCCACCAATTTTTCAGTCAATAATACCATCCAATATTTTCTTCTCGAGTACAAACGAAAACAGAACTGGACATGTGATAAAAATATCTAATAGGATATAAAAAGGCGGAAAATTAAACATGCATTGATAAAAATATAGTATATATAGAATATGGAAAAAAACAAAAAACATATTTATAAGAAAAAAACAGTGAGAGTCCTAAAGTCTGTTGACCATGAAAAAATCTTTAATAATAGTAGTGTAACTAGTTTCGGCCACAGGCCATCATCAGACACAAAAATTGATGTAATAAAGTACCTATGATATGAAGAACATTACATCTCATATAATACTGACTATAGGATCAGAAACCTATGAAATAAAATGTTCTGAAGTGAATACAGGCACTATAAACCATTACGAAATTATAAATATATGATGATATATAAATACAGGACCAGAACCATATTTTGGGGTCACCGCAAGTGCGGCGAAAACAACTATCTCGGGCTGGGCGGAGGGAAAAACACTCACGTACTGGTCCGAATTACCAGGATTAACCCATTCGAAGGCGTTCCTGCCTAAACCATCGGAAAAAATAACCAGGCAGATCCTAGAATGGAGCAGGGGTAACCTGCGAATTCTGACTGGACTGCTTACGGGACACTGTCGTCTAAGATACCACCTGGGAAGGATGGGTCTGAACCAACAAACGGACTGTCGGTTCTGTTGTGTGGAAGACGAAACGGCTGAACACATATTATGTTCATGCTCTAGCTTAGAAAGACTAAGGTTCGACACATTTGGCTTTACCAACCTAGAACCTATCGATTTCAGACAAATCTCACCCAATTCAACCATGAACTTTGTAAAAAGATGTGGATTGTACGGTTAACTGTAACCTCTAGGGGTGAGCCACAATAGACCCATCTGGGGTCGCAGTGGAGGGGAGGTGTTCGCCCCACTCACATGGAACCTAACCTAACCATATATAAATACTAGGAGAGGCATATTACCGATGTCACTTTATATTTTCTGATGATTTTCAAATATTCAAACTGTGTGTCAACTCACTTTCGATCAAATGCGTTCCCCGGGATTGTTATATTTTCTTCGGCAATACATTTATTTTTATCATTATTTGATTTTAATTATTATTGATTTTGAAAATGATTGTTCTGCTTCGCAATTTGGCACTGGTAGTCTTAAAAACAAGTAATATATTTTTGGGAAATACCTGCGTTCCTCTTTTCATCTGGAACTCCCCATGCAAAATATGAACTGTTAATCATATCAATCTGGTTCTTTCAGATAGGCTCTACAAATAGTTAATAATCAGTGATAATAGTATATTACACAACGAGGTGGGAAGTGATTCATTCCTGTCGTGAGATTAGTTATCTAACCGAGACGCAAAGCGTCGAGGTTAGCGGTTAGCTATAATCTCGAGACAGGAATGAAACTCCCTACCGAGGTTTGTATACTATTTTATAAACACCCATCATATTTTGATCGAAATCAATGAATCTATGTTTCGTTCTGAATATACCTGAATTATTATATGAGTGAGGGCGAGAAGTGAGTGCGGGAAGTAGAGAGGGCAAGAGGTGAGGGCGGGAAGTAGAGGTGTGTAATGTGACACTTCCCAACCTTCAATGACGTTAGTATTGACAACATTACATAATATGGTTGTAAATAAATATATTTATGAATCACAACTTCACCTTACTCTATCATCATTGGAGCAATAATGAACTGAAAAAAGGTTTACAAGATAGGTAGTTTATGTGTATTAGGTACTATGGGTACATACATCCAGTCTAGTTTCCAAGAAATTTACTGAAGACATTTTATTATAGGTCTCATATATTTCTTTTGGGACCTTCTACTAGAAGAACCATCACCAAAACTCAGCTGGTAGATTCTTTCGAGGTTTTTGAGAGGTTTGTTGATTTCTAATTTATGAATTAATGTTGAATTGACTCGATAGGTTCTTGTCCCGTAGTCAAGAGAAGTAAGAAGAGAAAATTAACGAATTTATAGAATAGATCTAGATGAGATATGAATTTATGAACACAATAACAGAAATGACCTTGAATTACGTCTCAAAGGGGGCCCACCAGATGTCGAAAATCCTATGTTCCAAGCTTCAATTGTCGAAGGACATATTCTTCGGTACATGTTTTATTGCATTTTTTGTGATGAAGTTCGCATGGAAAGTTTTTCTATATGAAAATCAATAATTTGGGAGTATTCCGTGGAAAAACGCAAAAATGATTAGTTTGGGTCTTGAAGAATTATTTCATTATCTGATGATTTAATATCGGATTAGTTAGTAGGTTTTTCTTTGGTTTGAAATGTCTATTACTATGACGTTATTACAATAGGAAAAGGGAACAGAGAACCAAAATGAATTCCTGAAAAAATTATCCCGTCAGAATATTAGAGTGATATCATCAGAATCTACGGTTCATTGAAATGGTGAGTATACCAAACTTGTTCAGGTAAAATGTCAAGCTCGGATAAACGTATAATTTAAGATTATACCAAATCTTGTCGCTGCTGATTCAAGTCAACTATAAACTAGTAGAATTAGCAATAGGTGTAAAACCTATATTGGTGACATTTACTAGTAAGTAAGTAAGTAATAATTTCATTTCCTCAAAAACAACAGTGTAAGGAAAGGGAAGTCTGTACAATTTTGATGAATTTGTTGGAATTTGGAATTATTTACATTATGTGTAAACTTGGTAGAATTCATTCAGGTTATAAAAAACATGTTGGAGGAGGAGAGATTTCAATTTATGCTTAAATTTTTTGATATTATCACAGTGTGTGATTGAGTAAGGAAGGCATCTGAATATTCTAGTGCCTGTATAGAAAACATTATTTCGGTTTATATGAGTAACCAAAATATTTTTATTTTTGAAAATCATCAAGCTAACTTTATATATATATAGATTGGTAACAGTCATTATTCCCAGATTTTGGAAGTACTGTCTGCACGAGTCATATTTTTTCAGACCACATAAGCATCGAATAGCTCTTTTTTGCAGCATAAGTGTATACTCTCTGCTGCGGAAGAATTGCCCCAGAATTCCAATCCATACTGAAGAATACTATTGAAATAGCTGAAATAAACAATTTTTGCTGATGAAAACCCAATGTTTCGTCTGATGGTTAGAATTGCAAAAATTGCTTTCGAAAGTCTTTTATCAAGTTCATAATGTTCATATATATGGTGATTCCACTTTAAATTACAGTCTATGTCTATTCCCAGAAACTTGATATGGTCTACACTACTTATCGTTTCGTTGTCTGTCTCAATATTGAATTTTGTTGATGATTGAGATGGCTGAAATAACATAATATGTGTCTTATTTTGATTAAGTAATAATTTATTAGACGAAAACCAGTCGATAAGATCATTCCGAACCCTGTTCAGAATATCAGCGTCATCTTGTGGGGATAGAGTGGAGTTATCTATTATTATGTTTGTGTCATCTGCAAATAAGGAAAAGTTCAGCTGAGGAAAATTGCAAACTAGATCATTCATGTAAATCAGAAATAATACCGGTCCCAGAATTGATCCCTGAGGTACTCCGCATTCTACATCTACCGTTTCTGTTTTGATTTTTTTAGTTCCGTTTTCACTAAAGTCTTGTAGTTCAATGAACATTTTCCTGTTTTCAAGATATGACTGAAACCAATTATAAGGTATACCTCTAAATCCATAGTGATTCAGTTTACAAAGAAGAATTTGGAAATTGACGCAGTCAAAGGCTTTACTGAGATCGCAAAATAGTCCTATTGGGTAATGTTTCATTTCTTATGTGGAGTTGATATTTATTATTAATGACATGATCGCATCTGATGTATTGAGATTCTCGCGAAAACCGAATTGAGAGCTGGAAAATAGTTTTTTGTGTTCGAAATAAGCTCTAAGCTGCCTGCATACCACTATTTCCAGGACTTTTGAGAGAGTTGGAAGAAGAGATATTGGCCTGTAATTTGATATTGATTCCTTGTCTCCTTTTTTATGAATGGGTAAGACTTTCGCTACATCAATATTGTATATCAATTCATGTCGACAGTTCACAGTTGGATCGATTAGATAGTTGAGAAATATTTACTTGGTATTTCCTCAAAATAAAACAGCTGGCAACACAGGACGAGGGATTATCACGTCAGTATGAGTTTGCCTGCCAACTCCTTGTTTGAACGTTCCATGAAATTGTAGGGTATTCAATATTGTTTTCGATCGTGATTACAGCATACCTAATTGTATGCATTCATGTGATGTTATACTACTATATTTCAGTCATACGCATATTCAAATTGGATTCACGAATTTGTGTTCTTGCCTTCATTGTGATATCAATAAGCAAACTACCATTATTATATTGTAAAGTTCATTTAATACTCTAATAATAATTATTTTTGCGCAATTTTAAAGGTTCCTAAAATAATTACAACAATTCAGTCGAAGCGTTGGAGACAGTGGATGACTCGTGTTCAACAGCAGACGAAATATGTTCAGCCTCAGAAGTGGAATGCAGTTCATCAACATTGACTGTGACAGAGGATACATTGTCGGATGAGATAGTAGATGGCGCTAAGGTGCTGAGGATATCGCTCGATCCACTTCTGGCCTCCACAGAGATGGACTCATTCTCCGAGTTGGACAATGTGGGCAGGCCCAGAGTCGAGTCTGATACGCTGAAGGAGTTGATGTTATCGAAGACTGAGGCACCGTTCGAACCTGTAGAGATGCTACTGATGCCTGATGGGTAGCTACTGATTCCTGATGGGTAGCCATTGATTCCTGATGGGTAGCCACTGATTCCAGAGATGGTACTGATTCCTGATGGGTAGTCACTGAGTCCCGAAGAGATGGTACTGATTCCTGATGGGTACCCACTGATTCCTGAAGAGATGGTACTGATTCCTGATGGGTAGGCATTGATTCCTGAAGATATACCACTGATTCCAGATTGGATGCCACTGATTGCGGATGGAATGGCACTCACTCCTTGAAAGACTGAAATTGAAAATGTATATTTGAATAGTTGTTTAAATAGTATCGCAATATCGTCATATTTTACAAACATCGAATGACATTCAACCAGGGTTCGAGAATATCTATTATCTATATTATACAAGGTATTGCAGATTTAAATGTACCTACTTACGATACCTGTAAATAGGGTAAACTTTGATTGTTCCAAATCACCCCTCTTTGATGTGTCTTGCGTCTTTTATATAAGTGAGATACAAGACGTTATATTCTTGATTTCAGCAAAATCTTCATCTGGTCATGACTTTTTAACCACTTCGAAGAATCTATTCGATATGCTTGATAGATGTATTCCACTCAGGTATAAGTACACCACTTTGTATGGCAGTATTTTTAAAATTTGTTTTGATATGTTAAGAAGGCTGTAAAAATTGATAAAGTGACCCACTTTTTACGAGCGCGCATCCAATTTGACAAATGATTCATTATTATTACTCCAAATATTCAGCTTCATTTTGAGTAATTTTCAGTGAACTCGTGAAATAAAATCTAATTTCAATACAGAAAATAACAGTCTTAAAATTTCAACCTCATTAGTGTGAAATTTGGCGAATTAGATAAAGTTGCTAGTGTCAAATTGCATGCGCGCTCGTGAGAAGTAGAGGTCACTTTATTAATTTTTTTTTCGCTCTCATCAGATAAGGAAATCAACCAAATGTTGCCATAAAGAGTGTCGTTTTGAAATGAAAAAGTTCTCTTTTTCGCCTGAAGAAAAGTGGAATATTGTACGAATTTATAAAACAAAGTGGTTCAAAAATTATGACCAGATGAAGACGGTAGACACATCAAAGGGAGGCGATATGGAACAATCAAAGTGTCCTCTATCTACAGGTATCGTAGGTACTTTCAATTCTGAAACACTCAGTATACGTTCGGAAATTCCTGGTATACCCAAATTTGTCATCTTAATATAGTTAGAAACAAGAGAGAGAGGTATTCAATTAGGTAAAGTATTGAACCTTGCAAACAGCCAATGAAGTAGAAGTACTTCATCGATTCTCCACAACATTATTACTCTGGAATAACTGTTAGCTATAACTCACCTTGCTGTACGGAGCTGGGGTATTGAGAACCCACGATTTGTGGTACTTTGACGGTGATCTGTTGGGGGACTCCTACTTTTACTGGGTGTGGTACTTCCACGTTGTAAGGCTGTGGAACAGGTACTCTGATGTGCACTGGTTCCTTCACGAATACAGGTCTTTCGACTTCTACTTTGACTTGCTTGGTCTTGTAGACTGCGTAGGGTCTTGGGATTTCAATTGGTACCCTATATAAAGAGAATAGATCAAGAGTAGATCAATTCAGAGTTTCAAAGCAGGGGCTGCAATTGAATAATGGGTGATGATAATACTCACTTGACTTCTTCAGCGACTGGCACTCTCTGTTCAACTTTGACGGCATAAGGTCTAGGAACTTCTACAGGAACATTCACGCGTACAGGTACGGCGTAAGGCCTTGGAGCATCAACTCGAACAGGAGTTGGCACATTCACATGCCTGGTGACGTATACTGGTACTGCCTGAGGTACTGGCACTGCTACGCGTTGGGTGATGGTGCGGGTGGCTACAGTGTTAGGCACATGTACTTGCTGTTGGATCTGTTGTACTGGATATTGGAATTGCTGTACTTGGTGGACTGGCAGTTGTACTTGTTCACCGAAGTTACGGTAGTATTGGTTCTGGCCGTAGTAAGCTGGAGCGTAAGAAATGCCAGACAGACCGGATATACCAGACTGACCAGAGATACCGGATAAGCCAGAGATACCGTATGAGTCAGATGAGCCAGAAAGACCGTATACACCAGATTGGCCAGAAAGACCTGATACACCAGAGACATCTGATACACCAGAGAAACCTGAAACACCAGAGAGACCAGAAACGCCGGAGATACCGGATAAGTCTGATGAACCAGATAGACCATAAACACCAGATTTCCCAGAAATACCATATATGCCAGAGAGACCAGAATACCCAGATGCACCACCTAGACCAGAATATCCGTATGCACCACCTAGACCAGAATATCCGTATGCTCCAGATAAACCGGAGTACCCATATGATCCAGATAGACCACCATTCACTCCAGACAGACTTGATGCTCCGTAACTGAAACTAGGCGCTACATTTTTGGACAATATTCCGCTGGATGAACCGTAAGAGAATGAAGGTAAGGGGGTGACTGATTCATCGAGTTTTGTTCCGTAACTCCTTTTCTCTTGTTTGGATTTCTCAGCACTCACGAGCGCTGCTAGGGCGAAGCAAAGTACCTGCAAAAAATATAATCATATGAAACTACTGCACGTATTTTCAGAAGTAATACTATAAGCACATCAAAATGGTCGGGTTTTATACACCGATAACTAATAATTATAGGGAGTGTCAGTTTAACAGTTGAAATAATCCGACCGCGAAGCGAGAGGATTATTCTGTTTTGATTTATAGCAACTTTCCTCAAAGCATTTCTAACGTATGCATCTGTTACTGAAAAACTATTTTCTTCGAACAATCTTCAGAAAACAATAATGATAATCATAGTTCGCCAAGAAATTTAGCGATAAAACATGAGTAGATAAGTAGAAAAAACCTCAAATACTAACATTTCCAGATTTCAGTTATGTTATTTCGTTCAAAGGGCACTTCTGATATTTACACTCAGAGAAATAGTCGATAGTGAATACCAAACGTTTAGTAGAATAGGCGCCAGTCACTACATTCATCAAATAATACCGCTACAAAGTTGTACTATACTAAACTATGAGTATTATATATGTACCATTTTGTAGTGGTAATATCTCATATAGATATTATATTATAATGTTGTAGTGGTATCATTTGATGAATGTTGTGACTGGCGCCTATTTTACTAAACGTTTGGTAATAACTACCATTTTTTTTTTTTCAGTGTAGGTATTGTATGAATGATAGTTATTTATGTATCAAAGGCGAAACATACGCTTTTATGGACCGCAGCGTGTAAGTATAAGGTCCATAGAAGCAAGTTAAGTCCGAAATTCATACATTAAACATTTTAAGCACTTTGGGTATAATTAATTTTTCATTTTGAATACCTCTTCACCTCTCAAGAACGATTGAAATACATCATGGTTGCAGCGAGGAATATCATCAAAGAATTGATGGAATCAATAACGTTACCATGATAACTCATTCAGTTTTTTTCAACAGGAATATATCATTATACAGGGTGTTCCAGAGTTGTGGTGACAAAAGCCTATGGAAGATTCCTCTCAAGAAAATATGAAAAAAAGTTCATATGAACATGGGTCCGAAAATAGTTCCTTTCAGAGATATAGGGTGTCCAAGTTTCTGATAAATATCTTGGAAAAATATTTCTCACAGAATTTGAAGATCATATACATTTCAGAGAGGGTATTGGTTTCTGTCTTTTTTTGTTTTCATAGATAATAATTTTGTCACCCTAACTCTGAAACACCCCGTATTTGCTTGCTGTCAATCAATGTCGTCAAACACTGAAAAAAATAGTCGGTAGTAAATACCAAACGGTTAGTTAGATAGGCGCCAGTCACTACAATCATCTAATAATACCACAACAAAATTGTATAATACTATATACTATATCAAATATGACCACTACAAAATAGTATGATACTTATAGTACTGTATGATACTATTCTGTTGTGATATTATTTAATGAATGTAGTGACTGGCGCCTATTTCACTAAACGTTTGGTATTCACTACCGACTATTTCTCTGAGTGAAGATAACTTATTTTGTGTTCGATCTTATCATTTTGCATCTCAGAAATATCAAGAGAACTGTAATATTAGATGAACCATCGCAACTAAAACATAAATGTAAATTATACAGGAATGCCTATTACAAGTAACCTATGCGCCGGATGATAAAGTTAGCGGTAAAGTGTCACTTTACGCCCGCAAAACCGAGCGGTTGAGTGCTACTATACACCTGGTCATGCATAAACACAATTTTCATTTCATGAGCCAGAAGCTAGAAGCCAGAAGACAAGTGGAGCCTCGGGGGGACCATTTCCCCTTGATTTTCCCCTTCCTTCTCCTGCGTGATGACAAGACAGGTGATCAATTGATCAAACATTAGTAGATACATACTGACTCGTTAATCTATGATCAATTGATCATACAATTATTTCAATTCACAGACAGCTATAGAACTTTTTCGTATTCAATTTGATAGTACCCAGTGCTAGCAACTCAGCCATTTCATGGCTAGTTCTAGCCTTTTTTAAACTCATTAAGCTACTAAAAATTGCTAGTTATTCAACCATTTTTTCTAGCTATTTTCTATCCTGAATTTCTATGGAAATATTTTTATTTTTATGAAATTCTCATAGCATTATATTCACGATCTAATCTGAGTCAGATTCAGACTACTCTGTATTTCTATGGATTTATAATCAATACTTTGTGCCATTTTGACAAATTGGATACGATTTTGGGTGCGTCTTTCATTCCAAAATTTTGTCATGCGCATGAATCGAAGAAACATTGACGTTGACCTCAATGATATCACATCACGTCATACGTTAATAGTCCAGTCCAGACTTTGACCCGTGAATAATTTTCTAGTGTTTTTTTTTCATAGGTGTCTCGGGGGGGGTCACTGGGAGTGTAAATTCAAAATGGTTAAAAAACGGTTTTTCTTGAATAACTCGGCCATTTTTGATTCTACAGAAAAAGTTTGGTGACAAAAATTGTAGTAAATTTGGTTCTCTACAAGTTTAGTCCTTACAATTCTTCTGATAGGATCGATATTTTGTAAATTAAACCTGAAAAAAGCGACAAATTCGGAATATTTCCATTATCATTTTCATTTTATTGTATACAACTTTCGCCCTATTCGTTGCACCTGCAGAATTGAAAAAAAGAGGAGATATTGCGAATATTTCTGAATGGGTACATATTTTCTGGTTAAATTCCGAAAATATCGATTTTCGGAAAAACAGGTTAAGACCAAATTTGTCCAAAATTTGATTCTCTACAAGTTTGTTTCTTCTCATTTATGGTGTAAAGTTGAGAATGAACGAGATAAGGATGATATTTCGATTGAGTCGTTTTTTTTAGGTTTAATTCCGAAAATATCGATTTTCTGAAAAACAGGTAGACACAAAATTTGTCCAAAATTTGATTCTCTACAAGTTTGTTTCTGTTCATTTATGCCGTAAAGTTGAAAATAAACGAGATAATGAAACTATTTCGAATTTGTCACTTTTTTCAGGTTTAATTTACAAAATATCGATCCCATCAGAAAAATTGTGAGAACCAAACTTGTAGAGAACCTCTTTCTAAACTTTTTCTGTAGAATCAAAAATGGCCGAGTTATTCAAGAAAAACCGTTTTCTAACAAAAAACATACGCAAAAGCTTGATTTGGTCGCCATTCTGAATTTACACTCCCAGTGACCCCCCCGAGACACCTATGAAAAAAAAAACCACTAAAAAATTATTCACGGGTAAGGTCCGTTATTTGGATATAATGACTGGACTATAACGTCAATACTACTAGAGTCAGTAGAGTCTAGCTGTGGATCTGAGCTCTAGACTTGAATTTTCAATATCAGAATCGTAGTCCATGGTCAGATCTCTTGTTTTCGCTAGAAACATTGCAAATAATGGCTAGATTAGTCAAAAACTGGCTGAACATTATTTCACCTGCGGCGCGCTTGTATTTTTAGCCATAATTTTGCCTTTCACTGATCGTAACTAGAGCATCCTCCAATTAGTATTATTGGACGATGCTTAGAGGTTGAGAATTCCGTGAGAGATAAAATGAAGTGTGTTTACAGTCAACTCGTTCGGTAAAATATTACTTTGCGGATATGAACATCAATCAACCGCAGACGGAAATTCTCGTCACGTCATTTACTATTTACCGACAATTCGCGTACGCAAACATGAATGTGTGCGGAATGAGTTTCAGTCCACAACTTCAATTTCGCAAATTCCGATAGTCACCGGCATTTTCCGTCAACGATCAGCTGCTTTCCAATGGAATGCCAAACCGGAGATAATTCTCGAAAATGAAACCATTTGATGAGAATATTCGTACCGTTACTACTCGCATAATTTTTGTCAAATGTGTTACCAAACGAAATTTCGGCCCCTTGAGTCGTGTAAGTATGTTACAAAAGTAGAATATCCAACGAGAATGACGTTCGATTTTCTTGGTAAGTGGCAAAGTTCGGTCCAAGATACTAATATAATTCATTCGTGAAAATTCATTACTATTTCCTTGTGAAGTTTTGCATGTTTCCAGAATATAATGCGTTCTTGATTGAATGTTTCATTTGTTCTAGTCATTTCATCATTACACATTATACATATAATTTTTCAAATTATTTGATCTGTCGATTTTAGTCAATTTTCAGTTCCACGGTTAGGTATAAGGTATAGCTAACTCAAATTCGTTGGAAAAAGCATGTTCTACCTCGGGCTGAATTTCTGTATTTTATGTACTAGCCGGTTTTGCGGGCGTAAAGTTGCACTTTAGCGCCCGTGGGCCCATTGTGGCCCACGGACCGTTGAATACTTAACCGCCTGGTGTTGTTCAATTCCTTATATTCACATTTTGAAGTTTCATATATTTTCAGCGTATTTTCATAAGAATTTCGACTTTCAGTGACAATGATTCAGGGAATTTCCACCCGTTTGCAATAACACGGCGAAAAAACTAAATTTCTTCTTGTGGTTCCATGAAATCGCACTGGAAATACAATAGTAGATAGCAGTTGTGGCCAGGAATTGCCATCAAATATTCAACACACATTGTGAGCTATTGATACGTTGAAAAAATTGAATTTCAAAATCACATTTCAATTCTGTGCAACCTCTGAACGTATGAAAAACTAACATTTGACTATAGTGCGTTCTCTACACCAGCTTTCCAATGAGGTGTCACAAGCCATGAAGATTTAATTGAGAAAATCATGTTGTGGGTGGTTTCAGCTAGGTACCTGGTACCCCTGGAGGTATGTATTCTCGATATTTCTTGCAAAAGGTAGGTAAATACATTGAATCGTTGACGTATATCAGGAATATTTAGAAAAATTATTCACCTCCCCCCTTAACCAATTTATTCCAGTTGAAGTCTCCATATATTCATGTTCTTCTTCATCCGATTC